ATGGGGGAGGGGCAAAATAACCTTATAAACGAAAACATGCTTGCTTCACACATGGTTTTCCAGGGAGGGCTGAGGCTGAAGGACCGGTTCGAAACGATTTCGAATGAGGACGAGACATCTCATCTCCCTGTTGGGCTTGAGTTCGTGACGATTATCGAGCCAAAAAGCACCAACATGCTAAAATATCTGTTCAATACCCAGTGTGAAGATGTCGGGGAGGGGAAGATAGAGAGCAGCTTTCCAATGCCTGATCCGAACGACCTGGGGATTATCCTCGGAAACGTAAGCATGCCGTTTGCTCACCCAATCAATTTTAAAAGGCCGTTTGCGACAAACCCGAACAATTTTTTCGACTCGGGTTTTTGGACTCCAACTGAAAGAGCATGGTTGAATTAGTAGGGTGGCATACTTTTGAACGTTTCAAAAATTAATTTTTCGGGTTTAAATGGGCATTAAAGTTGAAAACCTAGAAAACTTCTCTCGAGAACTACTTGATAGAATCTTTTGCAAATATATGTCGATACCTAATTTCGTATGGGGATCATTTGGTGACCACAACCGCCCATGGGTTCGGTCCAGATGGTTCAAGGGAAAGGGCGTATTGTGCGTGTTTTTCGCGCGTTGCGTGCGGATGCGCGGAATAGCAACCGGTATTTAGCTGCGCAGGCCTGCTTTCGCAATTGCGCGACGCGTCTATCGCCCGCGTTGCGGTCTTCCCTCCTTTCCAAAGCTACCGGACGTTTTATTAGGAGCCGGGCCGCTGTGTGACAGTTGATTTTGATTTTGAATTTGAATGTCATTTGGCATAATTTTCATTTGGTTTAATTTTCATTTGGCATAATTGTCATTTGATATACCGTTATTTGGCATAGTGTTATTTGGCATAATTTAATCTGTTTATTCATATTGCACAGCATCACAGGTTGACAAAAACAAGCACAAAGACGCTGCTGGGTGGAATATGACCAGCGGGGGTTCGGACTTCTTCGATCCTACTTCGAACCGCGTTGACGCATCTCTTCGTACTTGACATCGATCCGAACTGGATAGGCACCCATTTTTTTGAGAAACTGCCAATTGTTGTTGTGGGAATTCTTGAAGTGACAAGCGAATTATGCCAAATAACATTATGCCAAATGAAAATTATGCCAAATGAACGTAAACCGGATCATCTCTCTAATACATCGCGAAACACGAAAATGCCCGGAACATAGGTGTATTGCGTACACAAAACAGTTTTTCCGTTTCGTCCGGAACTGGGCGATTGGGCGGGTCCGTTCATTGCTGTAGAAATGATGCCCAAGAAAATTTTGCCTCGAATGATGTATCAAACTAGCGCCGCCCGATCGCCGAGGAGACGCTATAAAGCATTTACTAGGCAAAAAATGGCCCAAAAGAGGCTCCGAAAACTTATAAAATTCAAAATAACGAAATCTGAGGCATTAGTTTGCATCTAGAGAGCATGCTGAGGCTATTGCAAAAAAAAAGCAAAAAGAAATCATTCTACTTCTAATTCGGTCCGGATGCTTCGTTCATATTCAACCGTTGTCCCAAAAATGGCCCCCTCTAGCGGTCCGCGTTCGTGATTTTTACGATTAGGTATCTATCGGAAGCTCTCGACGAGCTGAGGAATTATTTTCTCTCCGATTTTCGAAATTCCCGAATTTTTCTTTCATTTACTAAGATTTTTGGGGAACGGGCCGAACCTTTGTTGCTTTTCCCACGCAGAGGATTTTTACCAAAACCTCCCGTCTTGCACTTTTTACACGTTTGCTGGCTTCCCAAAATAGCTTTTGACAGCCATTTGAGAAGACACAGCTTGGACGAAGCTAAATAAATTGAGTTTTTGGAGAAAAATGCGTAACTTTTGCATAAAAAATGACAAAAATCGAGCTGATAATTCGGGAATTTCCAAAATTAGAGAGAAATATTTCCTCAGCTCGACGAAAGCTTTCGATACGATATTTTGACAGTTCTGCGGACCGCTAGAGGGAGGGAGACGCCCTGTAAATGGCTGTTTAATACATGAGCATACAGAAAACGTAAACATTTTTGTTCGAATAGTCTATGCTCGTCCAGAATATTAGAAAAACGATGATTTTGAGATACTCTTCTAATTGAGAGACATGTACATGTCATTTAGGATGAAATAGCTCGCCTCGAAGACCCTTACGCTATTCCAGACGCTGTGGAAGCTGCGCCAAGACGTTTGCAACATTATGAAAGGGTTATAAGCACTTTAGGTGGTCGCATCTGGAACTGGTTCATTCAAACGTTTTCCTGTCATCCTAGGGCAGCCCGCGGTGACACGCGGTAATCATCTTCGGCGCGTCGCAGCCATTAGCGCTTCAGTTCTTTTCCTCCGCCCTCATAAAGGCAACATCCAAGCACAAATCATTCTGACCTGTTGAATTGTGCCATGTCATACAATCGCTAGTCCAAATGTTAAATTGTGCAAATCCAGTCCCTCCAGATAAGTTTTCACAAATCCATTAATGTTTTAGCGTCGATTTTATATTACCTGATCCCTCGTAATTTCCATGTTTGTAATTCTGTAGCCTAAAATTGTACTCACAGCTCATTGGGATTGTAAACATCTCAATCGTCGTTAAGCAATAAACAAGGTCTACATGCCATCGAAACACTGCAGAACCACCACAGAACCTGGTCGCTAAGCCAGCGCCGGGTATTCATAGAAGCGCTTCTTTTTGGAACAGGAAACTGTTATGTCAAAATTGAGACAACAAAGTTTTGCGGCGGTGGGGTTTCAGGAATTGGGTCGAGGGCTTTCTTGGAAAAACAATATTTGTCGACAGTGAGTAGAGAGTTGTAGAATCACTTCTTGGCTTTCGATTTAAGGCAGTTACGAGGCTTGCATAAGTTGTTTACAAGGAGATGGTTTCAGCTTGACATCGAATTTCGCTTTGAAAATCGGCACAGTGGTTCCCCCCCCCCCCCAAAAATCCGAACTCCCGACCCTCAGCGCGGTAGACGCAGCCCCAATGCAATACACCAAACACGGCCAATCAAACAGGCAAAAACAGCACTTTGCCGGGAGGGGTAAAAGCGTCCATAGGAGCCGGGTGTAGCGCTCGCCCAAAAGTATAAACTACTATAGCTTTTTTCAAACCCACTTACTATTGAAAACCCAACACAATTTTAAGGTTATTTTACCGTCCGGAATACCATTTTCACAAAGTCGCTAACAAAGATCACTAATGTTTTGATAATTTTTGAATTCAGTTGTATTAGTGTTTCGTATCAATAGAATCGCCGTGTTCCATTCTGCCAAGTTGGAAATTGCTTTTTTAAGATTGGCTTTAGTTTCGTTTTTCGCATCTCTAAAAACATCCGAGACATTGAAACGACTGCTAGATTCAATAACCTTGGCAGCTTAGCAATTCTCTGGAAATGGTAAAAAGTACATAAGGTATAACAAGAACAATTAACAGGCGATTAATCGCTGTTTCAACACAGCAGCCCCCTTATCAGGGCCTCGAGTTTTAAGTGCTCACAAGGCCTGGCGACAGACATTACCAAAATTTTGAGCTGGATCAGCCCCTCAAAAAACCTCTCCCTCCAATCTGTTTGCATGCCGATCTGCATCGATGAGCGGTGCAACTGGGGAGAAACAGGAAAAATATAATTCTTCGCGTTCACCGGTACAATTCCGATAAGCGGGGGATTTTAGGCGGGGGGAAACCGAACTTTTTTCCGCCCGAGCCTATATTTTTTATATAAATAGTGGAAGTGTTTCTAAATTGTTCATAGCTATTCCGAAACATAAAAACTTTACAAAACTTAATTAAAAAATTTAATTTTAGGTCCAAAAATCAATTTTTTCGGCCCAAAAATGACCAAATTTTCGACTTTTTCAAGCGTTTTTCTAACTTTTTAAAAAGATTTTCCGATTCAAATAGGCTTAAATTTTGCTAAAAACAATGCGAAAACATTTTATATTTGATTACTATCCCCACCAGGGCCGACCAAAAAAAATGTTTCCCCGCCTAAAACTCCCCCCCCCCCGCTTATCCGAATTGTATCCGTTCACCAAATGTTCAATCCTGGCAACCCAAAATTGACTAATGCCTGTTATAGTTTTTAACGGACCGAGGACGACCCGATGACGCTTCCCCCCGGACATCGCACCCTGGTAGTCACAGTGGAAAACCCAGACAAATTTGCAGCCCAAAATTATATTGCCTTATACCTTATTAGTTAAATAAACAGTATTCCCAATAGAAACACAACACGTGGAGTACAAAAAACAAAGCAACAAACAACAATATTTCTGTTTGTGCTTACGAAAAGAAAAAGTTATCTATCAACCTCGGGCTCGCGAAGATCAACACCAAAAGAATTGGACCCATGGTGCGTGAACTGTGGTTCCTATTTTTGTTAGTATACTCCATAACCTAAATCCCCTAACAGTACCGGGTGCGCAAAACAGCACCCCTTCTAGCGGCGCGCAGTCGTGTCCGATTTTTGCCGTTTAGGTATCTATCGAAAGCTCCTGAAAAGGCGAGCAAACAAGGAGGGTTCATTTTCTTTATTATGTATTTTTATTCGCGAATTTCACCTCCAAAAACCCAGATATGGCAAACGGCCGCGGCACGGCCCGGCCGGCGGCGGCTTTTCCGGAACGGCCAGCCGCGGCCGGCCGTAAACTTATGCAAATTAGCTGACGGCCGGCCGCGGCCGGCCGAAGCATCTAATCAAGGACGACATATCATGACAACATTCTAACGACTTGCGCACCGCGAAAAATTGCTTAAAAGCAAAAGTGCATATTTCCTACCTACATAGCATCGAAAAATACCGAAATTTCCAGCGTCGTAAGAGCTAAATAAAATAACTTTCATATTAGTTAAAAAAAATATTTTTCGAAATGTCAAGTTTTGGCAGTTCAGGATCTTCCATTTCGATGTTGAAAACGATGGATGTTTACTTTGAGCTTTGCCTGCAGGGAAGTTGTCCAAATTTACATTATTTGATAGCTATGTCTAAAAGTACGGCCGGCCGCGGCTGGCCGTATTTTCATGCAACGGTTGCGCATTTAAATGATGTAAAAGTTTTTAAACCTCGGATGATTCTTATTGCCAAGCTACCTGTTTTTTTTTGGAAAAACATTGAATATCGGACGAATAAGAAGAATCTTAAAAAATGAAGCCCGCTTGTTTTTTCGCTTTTTCGCGGGCTTTCGAATTGTATAAAAATCATCCTGAACTGAGTTCCCGCTAGAGGGGGGTGCTTTTTTTGGGGACACCCAGTAAGGCAAAATGCTACTAACAAGGAGACTTTTTCGTGTTCTGTTTCATGAGTGTTTAGTTTTCCAAAAAAATATCCTATTAAGAATCTGTAAAACAATCAGATTAAAAAAACCGTGAAGCTGTAAAGCGCGAAAATGCTCCAAATACGCCATTTTCGAAAAATTGATTTAAAGGGTGACCAGTTGAAAGTGTATACAACTCGACATTGATAAAAAGAGCCATACAAATTTCTTAAGTTTTTTTTAAAACTTTTTGCTCATTGGAGGTAAGCAAAACCAGTAATACTAACAAAGTGTCAAAAGGTTCTGAAGGTAACTTCGGTTGGGTGAGAAATACAGCTTCCAAAATGTTGCTCAATGCGAAGAAAAAGCACGCCAAAAGGCCGCAACTCCAAGTCGGATACTTTGTTCCGCCCTGAAGCCCCCGAGTGCTTTAGTGGGCTCAGATTTTTGTAGAATGTAAAGAAGCCTTCTGCCCATATCATGCACAATTATGGTAATTTTTCTACGGTGACCTAGTCGGAACAAGAAATCGGCTGCTGGGCTAGGTTCCGATTAGTTTGGCTCGTAAAAAGTCCGGGGAGTTTATTAAGGCCCCAAATTTTGCCCAAAGATGGTTGTTAACATAAATGTATCAATCATTATCAAAATTAATAAGCTCGTTAATCCGTTTTCGCCAGTTTTTGAGCCTGAATTGCCAAAAACCGTGCTCATTTTAAAAACTAAGGTCAAATTAAATCTAGATTTGAGATTTCAGTATTCCGAACGTTTCGAAACATACTTCGGATTGTTTTCATCCGAAATAGGTAATTTCATGAACTGCCGATGGCCCCAACAAAAATTGGGTGTAATTTTAAGGCTGCAATAGCAAGCCGATGGGAGCTGCGGCCCACGACCGCATAATGAGCCTCCCTTCTGAAGCTCTATCCAGAAGCACAGAGAAGCCAACTTAAAACCCAATCAATATGCGATGATCTAACTCATAATCTTTCTTTTTATGCTTCAGAAAAGTTTGGGTTCAGCTTCTGCCAATTTTTAGAGGCAAAAGTTTTGTATACACTTTCTACTGGTCACCCTGTACAGTGTGGTAATTATTTGTGTTTCTTCAATTCGCAGATATCGAATTAGTTTTGTAAGTTGCTTGCAGACAACGTCAAACTTGCTACGTTTTTTGACTGCCTTTGCTGCCGTAGTAAATGCCTAATAGCGATGGTTCGTTAGCAACAGAAGTAAAAAACTGAATATGTAAAACTGTATTTCAAGTTTAATAACCTCTACCCCTTGTCTATTTCAAGCTGGTGTTTTTAGCCCGGGACCGCCGCCCGTGCGCTTATCAGGCGGCCGTAGAAACCCGCCGCTTCTTGCCTCCCTCGACAAGGCTTGCCTTGCCGAGGAGGCCTGATACGGGCCGTTGCGCGCATCGGTTTTAGCGGTTTTTCGAAGGAAAATCCAGGGTTTGAAATTTTTTCTAGTTTTGCAAAAATGGTGGCCTGCTCCGGCCCTAATCACGGTGAACTACAAGCAAACGATCTACTTTTTTCAGCGGTCGTCCCAATGCAGCCGCGAAAGTATGACGGCAAGCGCAGAACCAGACCACCCAGAAACGAGCCGCAGCACATAAAAGTTATCCCCAATATTTTATTAGACAACAAATAATATTCGCAACCATAAATCACATGACGTACAGAAAAACGAAGCAACAAACAACATAATTTCTGTTCGAATTTACGAAAATAAAGTTATTACAACCGGATTCTCTTGATCTGGATCTCATCATCGATTGCGTCGTAGAATACATCATCGTCGGAGTCGGATTCAACGTCGCTCTCTGCGATCGGTGTTGGTGGCTTGGCGCGTTTTTCCGTCTAAAAAAAAATATTGTATCACGTTTCCGGCTAAACTTGATTAGTTTAACAGAAACGGCTACAATAAAAATTCTGGTTTTATTTAAAGCTCCAAAAACAAACCAAATCACGATTATTATCGAAATTTCTATTTAAACTAAGCTAAATTTAATTTTAAAACATTTAAGGTAAAAATTAGCGTTAATTTATCGATAAAAGTATAATCCTCACCGTTGGAATAAATATCACATCATCTATTGAGTTGGAATCGCTATCGGAATCGGTTTCGACGTCGCTTTCTGTGAGTGGTGCTGGTCGAGCAGGTTTTCGTTCCTAAAAAAAATATAATAATTATTAATATAATTAAATTGTCCATTTTAATTTAATTTAACTACAATAAACAGCTATACTACAAATTCTGACGTCAATTTCAAGCAAAAACATCAAACAATACCCGATTACTAACGATTTCCTCTTCTTCCAAAGAATTCAAAAAATCATCGTCTTCATCATCCTCATCATCCCTTGGGTAGAATTCGACGTATTCTCCAGTTTTCTCATCGACAGCAATCTCCCACGTGTCACATTTGTCCCAGGGGCAGCCGCAGCATGATTTTGAGCGCTTCCCGACTGAGACGACGGTGAACTGGTTGCCGTCGCCGTGCCGTCCGTAGAGGAACGCTTCCGAGATCATCTTTTCTTGGCCTAAAATTGTAAGATTGTTTTTTTGATAGCTTTTTTGCTTTTTTTATTGCTAGAGATTATTCTTGAAATTCTTAATTCAAGATCCTATAAATTGGTTCAATAACTGCTTTGAATAAGAATGTTTGTTAGAAATTAATAAAACAGTCATAAAAATGTTGATTTTTTGGTCAAAAATGCAGTTATGAAAATCGTCAAACGCTTTGGCAAAAGGAGGTTATCGGCTTTGAAAATCGTCAAAAAGCCTTGGTAAACGGAGGATTTATGATGTTTCCTTGGACCTTTGCCCCCAGGAAAATATCACAAATTTGAGTGTTCTTTACCAATTACTCAATCACAATCTACCTTTCAAAACGAGCCGCCGAATGAGGAGTGGTGCAGAATCGGCGGATCGTGCCCGGACGTCCTCGCGAAGGTTCTTGTCGGCCCAGTAGAATTTGGCGCCCTCGGGAAGTACGGATGGGCCCAAGTAGGGGGCACTGTCCTCGAGGCCCTCTTCGGGCAGGGCTTGAAACATTTTCCCGTGGCAGACGTGCGTTGATTTGCGCTTCCGGTTGTTTTCTGAAAACGGCCTAATTTTGAAGGGGCTCTTCAGTACTCTATCGAGATCAAGAAATAGGTTTTCCCGTTTTTACTACTGAAAAAAAGAAAAACTTGTTTTCGGGGTTGGAAAAACATATTTTTTAGATTTTGAAAATTAAAAAAGATTCCTACCGCTTCCTCCTCGATTCTTGGAGACGTTCGGCGACCACATGAGGTGCGCCTGGTCAAAGTGGCCTAGCGGCAGCGTTTCCCGCCAACTCCACGCGGCTAGATGGAACTGAAAAGGACATATTTGAAAAGATTTAGTTTAATAACCTTATGTACTACGCATTTGTACCAATCTATTAAAATTCCAAGTTTCAGCGCCTCACAAAAATACCAATATTTCCAAAACCAACCATGTGATCAGCGCTGAACTCTTCAAATTCATCCCTTCGTAGGTGCCGTAGAACATGGGAGTAGACCTTGCGCTCGTCCTCGGAAAGCGATGTGTAGTCGTCTTTTGGCGCTCCCCAATCGGTTAGGAGGAATCTCTGAAAAATACGTTGTTATTAGTTTCAAAATACTAAATCTAGTTTCAAAAAACACTCACCCGATCGACACGATCCGCCTTGATCTGCTGCATCAATTCCTCGAATTCGATCTCCACGTCCGGCTCGGCATCCCGGTTCCAAATATCGGCCAGGTCTCCTTTGTGGCGATGAAGATCGGCGATGATCACACCGATAGCGTTGTGCTAAAATGTGCTCACTTTATTCGGTAGTATTAGTATCTTTTTCTTTACGTATTAATATTTAATCATAGACACACCGTCACTTCCAACGGCAGCTTTCGGAAATCCAAGAATTCAGGGCACAACACAGCCAACAGATTTCTCTTCAGCCAAGCGATGCCATCAAGGTTTTTGTCGATTAGCGTTGTCATTATCTAAAAAATAGAAAGTTTTCGCATTAGAATAGATAAGTAGTATTACAGCAAATAAAAACTAAAAACGGCAACTTGAAAGACTTGAAGCAATTACGACACCCACTCAGGATTGGCGCCTAATCAAGCGGCAGATGTTTGCCACGCGTCGCCACTGATACGCAGATTTCAAAAAAGTTAACGATCAGCACATTAAAGATATCGATATGGGTCAGTGGTTATCGCGAGGAATAGCTAATCGGCGCATTAATATAAGAGTCTGTTGAAAATGGACGCCGTCGACAAGGCCTATCGTTATCTGCAGGCCTCACACTCCGCGGCAGGGCAGATGTGAAATCTGCATCTGCGCTGCCTCGGAGGCCGATCTAGGAACGCATTTCCCGCACTAATAGTTTTCCTACGACCTGGACTTAAATTAGCCCACTTATAAAAACCATATTTAATCACGTTTAAAAGGTTGGAAATGTACTAATAACTTCATAAACCTACTTTAACGTGGTCTTTCAGCTTATTCGGATTCCGAGAAGAGCTACAAATGCGCAATTTTAAGAATGATTAGGCAATTCTATTCGTTATAAATTTATTGCCCATGTAAGCCCACGTTATTGAGTTTATCTAAATTCTGGGCTGAAATGAAAACTTATGCAAACCAACTCTGAAGCGTCCGCCTCGGACTTATAACGCGTCACGTTAGTGAGCCTACGTGACCCAATATGTTCTATTTAAATGCTCAATTAGGTTGGATTTTCGTCTTTTCTGGGAATATAATTTGAAAGCCGGTATTATTACTAATTACGACATCACAGAACCTTTGCAAAAACCCACTGCTTCGCAACTGCGGTGAACTCCTGAACCCATAAAGCTTAAAAATCTAAAAGTTCGTAATACTACCTTTTTCTATAGAAACATTTTCAACAATCCGCAAAAACATCTTATACGCTTTTCTCTGACTTCGATCAGCTAGAACCACCCGTTGCACAGATTTCATGAAGCTATCAGTACGTTTCCAATCATTTAAAACGGTATTTACTATGATTTTATAAATAAGGGTAGGTTGTAGGAATACCATTAGTGCGGGAAATTCGTTCCTAAAACGGCCTCCGAGGTAGTGCAGATGCGGATCTGCCATACCGGGGAGTGTGAGGCCTGCAGATAACGATAGGCCTTGTCGAGTGTATCCGTTGAAAATACTATGCTATTCGCAAAATTCGAAAATGACCTTTCTAAAACATTTATTACATCCTCGGCTTTTTCGCTTCGAGCTCTTGTTTAATTTCGTCGCAGAAGACGGCGCCAAAGGAGTCGATGTCGAACACTTCGAATTCTTCTTTTACTTCTTTACCAGTGACGGTTTCTTGGGCTTGTTTGAGCGCCTAAAAAAAATATTTGGTGAGAGATAGAGAGAGAGAGAGAGGAGAGAGAGAGAGAGAGAGAGAGAGAGGGGGGAGCGCGCGAAACAGAAAATTCGAGATATTGAGGATGCCGTTACCTCGACTTCGTCCTGAGTTGCGGTGCACAAAACGACGCCCTCAGCACCAATCTCGAAAACGTCAAACTCCTCTTCTTCTTCTTTAATTGGGAGGTTTCGAAGAACAGGTTGAAGGATCTGAAAAAAAATATTTAATAAATGCTGTTAATAATATTCCTTGCCTGTGTTGAAATTACCAAAAATCACCTGTTTCTCAGTCGGCCGTACCAACTGTAAAACGTCGGCTTCCTCGTTCCCGTCTGGCCGCCGGAATTCGATGTATTCTTCGGTCTTCTCGTCGACAGCAATCTCCCAAGTATCGCACAGATCCAGCGTACATCCACAAGCCCTCCTTCTGCCCTTGCCGACCGGGGTCACCATGAACTGGTTGCCGCTGAAGAACCGGCCGCAGAGGAAGCCCTCGCTCAGGAATTCTTCGAAATCTGGAAAAAAACGGATTTAGTACATTAGCGGAAGGCAGGAGTAGTTCTTTTTTATCATCTAACCACAAGCTATACTAATTTTATAGAGCTTCTAGAAATTCCGGTTTTTACAAGCCTTAAAACCATTTTTTGGAATTTGGATCAAAAGGTTAAAATTTTTCGAGCATTATAACAACTGTGTTTACAACTTTTAAGTTGAAAAACCGTCGCTATCTAAGAAGGGTAATCAGATAACCCTGTAATCGAATATAAAGTGTATAAGGAAATCCTATCCTATAAGCGAGAAAAGTATGTTTGTTTTCTGTTCAGCCGATTTCTCGGCCACCAGGCCGAATTTCCGGCTGATTTTTGGCATGTAGGTGGAGAAACACATTTGTCAGTGAAGCAATTTTTTGTTTCTCGAAATTCCTTAATTTAACGATTTTACAAGGATAATAGTGAAAAATCCTTAACATTTTGGCCGAACAAAGGTTTGTTCAGAAGATATCTCGATTACCAGACCGAATCGGGCTCTAATTTTTGGTGGGTAGATTGAAAATCGAATTCTCCCGATATATAATTTTGCGTTGTCTGTTTTTGTAAAATAAAGTTTTTATGAGCATTTTTCTAAAAAGTCCTTAACAAAATCGGCCAAGTGCCGTGGTGTTCGGGCCATAACTCGAAGCCCAGATGGAATTTCGGTCTGTAATTTGGACCACTTATGTTTTCGATGGTGGGGATCATGCGCATCTTATTATCTTTACAAATTTTCAGCAGATTGAGACTCAAAAATGGAATTTTGTAAAGTGACCAGAAGGGCCCCCGCCCGGGGCATGGGCTCGGCCTTTCCTTTACCTCCCCGCCCCCTCCCAGGACGGAAGAGGCCTTTCCTGCCCCCCCCGTCCCCATGTGCCTCTTGGTGTATGGGGTTAGCTCCCGGGCTACCACGCGGAAGGACATAGGTTCGGATCCTGGGCGAAATTGGGTTTTTGCTTTTTGGTGGTTTAGCAGCAAACATCTTCTGTCTTTCTCGTCTATGCGATATTTAGGCTTGGCTCCTCGATCTAGTCGCAGGCCGAAGAAGGTCCTTCACCCAGGCCTTGTGCCGCAGGCTCGAGGATGGGTCAGTCTGATAGGCTCTTGCGCCGCAGGCTAGATTCTCGAGAACACCCAGTAACTAGCGCCGCAGGCAAAAGTTTCTAGCGCGGAGTTTGAGCCCGCTCGGCTCTGACGCGCCGCAGGCCAAAGAAAGGGTCCTTGATCCAGGCTCTCGCGCCGCAGGCCAAAGAATGGCTCCTTGAACAACGTACTTGCGCCGCAGGCTTTAAACAAAGGAAAGAGAATTCATGGGTCCTAGACGGGGTCCAGTGGTAGAGTGCGGCTTATTCAAATCAAATCGCGACTCAAACCGGTTTGATTTGAATAAGGGCGGTTTGAATAAGAATATGCTTTTCAAATCAAACCGGTTTGGTTTGAATAAGGATCCGTTATTCAAACCAAACCGACCCGGTTTGAGTTGGTTTGAATTGGTTTGAACAACAGGCAAATCAGCATGTTAATCGATTGGATGGATGCTAATCGGCTAAGTTTTCGAGGCATCCCTTCTAAAACCTTGTGCGATCAATATAATGATGAAATTGGCATCATTTACGGGGTTTACGCACTTTTCAACGATAGGCTTGGCATTCACAACCTTTCACAAGCATCCAAATGGTCGGGATAACCTTAGCAGCGCTGAAGAAAAGGTCTCGAAGTGATCCGCTATCCCCAAAACCTGGCAGGAATGCTGCTGAACCACCCTAAAGTGAAGTCACAGAAGGATTGGTGCCAAAACGCAAAAATGGTGCCGAAAACAGACTGTTTCGGAGACTGGTTCTTATTCAAACCTTGTTCAAATTATTCAAACCGGTTTGGTTTGGTTTGAGTTGGGAATCCTTATTCAAACCGGGTTTGGTTTGAATAAGGATCCCCGTATTCAAATCAAACCGGTTTGATTTGAATAACGGAAATCTTATTCAACCCGGTTTGAATAAGCCGCACTCTAGTCCAGTGGAAAAGGGCCGCGAAGCGGACTTTTTCCACTGGTTTATATATATTCAGAATATGGAAACTTCTAAAAAACTTGGACATCAAAAAGTTTCAGCTCGCAATTTTTGGTTGAAAAAGGTAAAAACGACGTAAAATACGATGAAAATGCTTCAAACCTTCAATGATCAAGCGGCGAATGAGGAGTGGTGGAGCGTTAGTGGGTCGCGCTCGAATGTTCCGCCGAATTTTCAGATCGGCCGTGATGAACTTGGCGCCGACCGGGAGCCTTGACGGGCCCAAATACGGTGCGATTCCTTCGAGACCGCCCTCCGGGATGACGTGAAAACGGTTCCCTTTGCAGGCATGCCGTGAATCGCGTCGCCTTCGGTATTCTTGGGTGACAACTGAAAACAAAAAAATATGCTTTTGTAAAATCGGGGGTGGAGAAACGAATTTTTGCGACAATTCTAGGTGGGCTTAGTAATGTAATAACAGGTATTCTATAATGGTTTCCAGGAAATGCAAGGTATGCAAAAAAATTGCGAACTTTCTAGCTTTTAAGTAAGAAGCGGTGTAGAAAAGGTCATTCTATTTATCTTAGCATGGATCCTAAGTAAAGGTTGTTTTTCCCCGATTTTGCTAAATTCTGCTCAAAACAAACTATCAACAATTTTGAGAGCACACCAGTAAAGTAATATTAAATTACCTGGATAATACGCATCCCGATGGCATTGTTTCAAGATCTGCGCCTTTTCCTCGGGCGTCACCGGGCGCCTCGTGATGTATTTCTGGTGGATGAACCCGAGTGGAAGCGATTCGCGCCAAATCCAGGTGACCACGTTGAGCTAAAAAAAAGCAAATAGTAAGTAAAAAGATTCCTAATAAAAAGCTATCAAAAACCCACCAACTTTTCATAGCACACACCGCTCACTTCGTCGCTCCGTAGCTGGTCCACGATATACGAGTAGATCGTGCATTCGTCCGGCGTCAACTCGCAATATTTTTCCTTGGGTTCTGCCCACTTGTTCATCAGGGCCGCCTGAAAATAAAGTTATTTACAACGCCCTTTTCGATTTATCCATATTTTAGGCAAATTAGAGAAAGATAAAACCGCGAAAACTGCTAAATCATGAAAAAGCAAAAACTTACCCGATTTTTACGATACGACATCGTCATCTTCTTCACCGACGCGTATATTGTGACGGGCTCGGATTGGCTGGGACGATTCCAAAGATCCGTCAACTCTTCTTTGCTATAGTACAAATCGTAGACGAGCACGCCGGTGGAATTGTGCTAAAAAAGTTGTTGAAGCAGGTTTTGAAAAACTAATTATAGTTATGATAGCTCCAAAATTGTCAAAACTACGATAAAAGCCGTCTAGGTTCTGTTCTATTTCGCGTGGGGGAAAACCGTGCGGGGGAAATATGCTTCGCGGAACCTTCCATCTTTTCGCTATTTTCTCGGGATTTTTGCAACGCCATTCGATAGACATCAAAAAATATACTAAGAGTTTTTGTTTTAGCTAAAAATATTATAATATAAAAAAGTTATAGCAAAAACCAAAAAAAACTATTGAAACTGGTTCCGGAATGTTAGTTTTCGGCATTTTCGCCAGTTTTTCGATATTTTGAACCCGTCATTCGATAGAGAAAAGAATCATTCGATCGAAATATACTCAGAGTTTTAATTTCATCTTAAAATATTGTTTTATAAAATAGTTATGGCAAAAACAAGGTTTATTCGGTGTTTCCACATGGGATCGTGGAGTCGAAAGCTAGTTTTCGACATTTTTGATAACTTTAAAAAAAATTTCTTTAATGCCATTCGATAGAGCGTGAAAAAATATACTAAGAGTTTTAATTACAATTCAAAATAGCAAAATATAAAAGAGTTATAAAAAAAACGAAGAAAATTTCCCCCCGCACAGTTTTTTCCCCCACGCGAAATAGAACAGAACCGCCGTCTAAATTCATACCACAGTTTGTGCAGGAACGACGCGGAGATTCAAAACTTCTGGGTGTAACTCGTCGAGAATCTTCTCCCGGAATGCCATCATAGAAGGGGGCTTGTTGGCCATCTCGTGCTAACCTGTAAAAAAGTGGCGTCAAAAAATGGATAATTGACCGATTAAAAAGACATAAAAGCAGTTAATATAATGGTTTTTGAAGGTTAATACAACAATATCAAAGTTTTCAAGCGTATCGAACTCGTAATTTTTTAAATTTGCTAGCTACTCGCTTGCCAAAAATTGCCGTTGAGGTATATTTATTTGAGGGTATTTTTGGTATAAAAATAAATAATTAAAACAGTGTCTAAATTATCAAGGATCAAACTCAAGGGATCCCGGACCGTGGGTGGCGCAGACGTGAAGTGGCGGTTACGGTGGAAAGAGCGCCCAACCACAGTCCATGGCAGGCGGGCAGAAAGAGGACGAGCGAGGGATCGGATGTATTCCCTGAATAATGGCTGAAGCACATATATAAAAATATGTTTAGGAAGTATTATAATAAAAATATGCAGCAAACCCATGTGCTTCTCGAGCTTACCTTTACGGAGTTGTTAATGGCACAGATCGATCAGTTTTGGTCAGATTTCGGTTCTTTAGGATTCCGGGAGAACCAATTTTTTTCCTGGTGGTCCCTGTGACCTAGTAATCAAATATAAAGTGTTTTCGAATGATTTCATTTCGAATGACCCTTATGATTTCATTTTTCCAAAAAATTTTTTGCCTGCGGCGCTGTTTTTGGCTATTTTTAACACTAGTTTTAGTGTAAACCCTCTGTTTTCAAAAATTTTGCCTGCGGCGCTGTAATTTTCGTCATATTAGTGAAAAATTTTTGGGGTCGCCCCCCGAAATTTGGGTTTGTTACGGCCCTGATGACATACCAAAACCGCCCATGGGTTCGGTCCAGATGGTTCAAGGGAAAGGGCGTACTGTACTTGTTTTTCGCGCGTTGCGTGCGGGTGCGCGGAATAGCAACCGCTTTTTAGCTGCCCAGGCCCCCAATTGCGCGACGCGTCTATCGCACGTGTTGCGGTCTTCCCTTCTTCCCAAAGCTACCGGACGTTTTATTAGGGGCCGGACCGCTGCGATACCTCATCCATATGATTTTGTTACGCAAGACAATTCCTTGAATTGATCAAATTAGCCGGTGGGGCGGAGTGATAAGCACATGGCCATTTACCCTATTTCTGATTGCGACCCCTTATGAAGGTTGCATAGACCTGACTTGGTCCGTATAAAGTTGGATTTTAGTGGCCAATTCTACGGTATTGTAGCGAGGATCGGCTTTATTTTCGGGAAGGGTCGAGCCTCCCACCAAATCCGCACGAGAATGGTGTGGTATCCATCAGATTTTGCTTTCCACCACGATCACGAGATTTATGGGAAAACTGACAGCCGTTATGTGCTGATTGATAAGACAATGTTGGTGAAGGTTGTCGTAATTTGCTAGATTCTCCTTCTACTAACCCAAAATTAATATTTTACAGGGCGACCGTCTGGAAAATCTACACGCTGCCGGAGAAACAAGGGTCGGAGATTCCCATTAATACCAGACATTTCGAGCGCGAGAAGCAGCGAAACCTGGAGCTGCGTTGCAAACCTCACGAAAACCTCATGCTGATCAAGGAAGAAAATAGGATTCAAAAATTCCGGTGTAAGGCTGACGGAAAGCAGTATGGCGTGCTGATATTCGATTTTCTGCCGTATACCCTGGAGAAAGGTAAGGTTATAGGCGTACGCTTCCAACAGTGCATAGTTATGCACGTAGAGAGATGAGGCAAAGAGCGAGAGGAGTGACGCTATTATAGTCGTACGTCCCAGTACCCGGGCCACAGCATTCCGCCCTTGCCAGTTATGTTCTTTGACCGGGACAGGATGGCAGGCATACAGGGAAGGGAGAATCCGCACTCTGGCCCCGCCCCCTATTCTCTTCCCCCGTGCCCCATAGTCTAGCCTCACTCTTTCGCCGCCTTATTCCGCGCCCCACCCCTCCCCTGTGTGTCTGCACCCCGTCTGGCGCACTATCCGCCGGCCTACTCACGAACACCGCGGAATCATGTGCGGGCGTGCATCTGCGCTTTCCGGACGTAATTCCGGATTTTCTATATCTATGCTGTTAGCCATCGCTAGGTCAGCTTGCTTTTGAAAGCGAGTTGTTCTACACGCTGCCTGACAACGCGTTGACAATTGCTAGCCGTTACGTATCCAGTAAAAAATTAATGACGCCATCTCCAAAATTGATTAGCAGGGCATGCTGACGTAGTCGTTATCGGACCACGTGACCACGTCACTGGGTGGAAGGCCCCCCAAGGATTCCCTGGCCGCCACTACGCGTGACAACGCGGGCGCTGCTTAGCTGTATTCAGACCCAACCATCGATCAACTTTCAAGTTCCGCATTTAGTTATCTGGGAGCCGTCAATAAATTACACGGACGATGGTGTGGCAACATTGGCCTCCCAAATGCTGTCGGGTATCAGCCATCTACACGAGCTGAATATTGCGCATCGCGATATCAAGCCGGCAAACATCTTCATCGACAAGAATGGAATCGTGAAGATCGCCGACTACAATATATCCCTCAACGAAGGATCCGGATGCTTGGGCAGCGACACGGGAACTTTGCGATATATGCACCCGCGACAGCTGTTCGAGAGCGAGGTATGTAAGTGTGAAATGGAATTCTTGAGCAGGGATATACATTTCCTAGGGTAATAAAGACTCTATAAAGTAGTAGTAAAGGTAAAAATAAATTCGTTGGACTTTCACATAAAGAGTCCTCAGTTTCAGCATGCTTTCTTGTTTTCAGTGCCATCGTCAAGACGATCTATGGTCGCTTGGGGTTGTTTTGTGGGAGCTTGTTACCAGGGAGGTAACTTCTTAACAAATAACCGCACTAACCCTTCTCTAGAAAATGTTTTGAAGAACTGCAAAGGTCGGAGCTTCAGGAATTTTATCAAAATGACCAGCTAAACGTTCCGCCACTCGGCGGGAACCATTTCATCCTAAAAATAATCGAATAGTATAGTTTGCTCGTTACGAAACCTTATCGGTATCTCAGTTGCTGCCAGCCGAAATCGACCGAACTGTGTGCGAAGCAAGCGAGTGAAATGTTAAACGGAGCCTTGAGAAAGGTTTGGTAGCCCAAAAACGCAACATTGTTCCTTGTAGAAGGGGCGCAAGCTGTCCGCGAGTTTCCAGACATTCGCTAGCGGCAGCCACGAAATCCGCCCGCCAGTCGGGTTGGAATCGGTCTACATCAGCGAGACGCCAATCTATCGGGAGTTCAGAAATCGCGGGCCATCATTCAGCAACCAGGCAACCGAGGCCGATTTTGATTTTGAGCAGTTCGACCCCGCCGCCCTTGCGCAGGAGCTCTATGGCTATGTAGGCTTTGCAAATTTTAATTTGACAAAGTTGTATGCCATATTTGGCTACGGTTTACTCCCCCCCAGCCGGAAGGTTTTGGCTATAACCTCTTTATTTTACATTATTGTAGGCTCAAAATAAAAATATTAGTGTATGTCTCGACGCTCTATCGGATGGCGTTGAAAAAAATCCCCAAAAATGATGAAAATACGGCATATTTAACAGAAAAATATCTTTCCCCATATTTATGTAACGATGCAACGCATTAATGGTTTTTCAGGTACCAGAACGCAACGAAGAAAGGTGGATGTTCGTATCCCATGCGCCCCGGATCGTCCGGAAGTGGTTGAAGTGGTTCTGAAGTTACGAAATTCCCATGCACAAATGTTTCGTGTCGTAATTTTCGGGAATCAGACTTGCTTCGCGTGGTCGGCCCTTTCCTTTCCTGGTTCTCGCCTGTACATATGATGTAATATCTGCTAGCATGAGTGCACGCCGGATTGTTTTGCGTTGCGCTATTTATTCCCTCAATCGTTGCTGCAACCATTTAAATCCTTGGCCATAGCCTTGTCTTGCTACGATTGACGTCATGAACACTTCTAGCGGTCTTTCGGGTAGGCTGGCTTCTTAAAAAATGCATAGGTCTTAATGAATGCACTTCCAAAACCATCACCATTGCTCAAAAATTCATTCCGACATTTCTTTTGCAAAATTGAAGCTAAATAAATCGTTTAATTCTACCTTTGCCAGTACACATTTCCTCCAGCCCAAACTGGAAAATGATTTCATGCTCGTCGACAGCATTCGGGCGATCGATTTTGTTGGCCAGGATTAAGATCGGGATCTCTGGGATCTGAAAACCCATAAAAATTAGAAAATATAGAATCTTAACGCTTACCCTGATGTCTGCCAAAATCGGTTTCATCCACTCTTTGGCTTCCGCAAATCGCGCTTTATCCGTAGCGTCGATCAAAAATATTATGGCATCAAAGGTAGGAAGTTGCCGCCTAAAATTTCCGCCAGCTGTAAAGGTGAGTTACGAATTTTTAGGACCTTATTTTGATACCAAAACAAAAAACTAAAACCAGCTAATTTCGCTAGAAAAACAGTTTTTCAAAACTAGTCGACTCAGAAAAAAACTTGTAACAACTTACGTAAAGGCATGCCACCCAAATCATAGACATGAATATGAAATTCATCAAAGATCAACTGCTCTCCGACTAAAAAAATAAAATATCAGTATTACCGTACTAACTTACAAGTCGCCCGGATTCCTGGAGGATTTTCGAGCCTTTGCGCCTTTGGCTCATCAGCGAGCATATGGAGTAGCGTCGATTTCCCAGAATCATCCAACCCGGTCAGCAGGATCTTGTAGTGACATTTGAAGCCTAAAAGTCACGAAATACAGAGACTAGGAAAACCTTAAGTTTAATGACAATGATTTTTTGTTTAATTGACGTTGCAAAAAGCCCGACAAAAATCCCGAAAATACCGAAAATTTGGAGGCACTTTGGATGCGGGCTGCAAAAATTTATTTATTTTAACTTTAATTTAGCTTTTGTGGTTAGGAAACCTTTGAGGCTTATAAAATTCATTTTCGCAAGGTTTTTCTTCGAATAAAAATCTTCTTAAACTCATAAGACATTTATAATTTTATTTCAGCTAAACTCGGCTTCAAAACCTACCCAAATACATCAACAGCGCCATCCACCAATCCCAGATCCATTCAAACATTGCGTGAAAAGGTCCGCAAAGGTAAGAAAAAGCAGATGCAAAATGGAATTAGTAACTCCTCGGCCTCAAGTCCACCATTTTAAGCAAAAACCAGGCCAACACAAAGGCTCCACCTCATTCCGGGACACCAATGTTGTGCCACGTGTCGAAAAGAGTGAGGGCAAAGAAGCGGTGAGGGGACAATGAGTCATAATTTGTTTGCACGGAGCGTTGCCAAGGGCATCTTTTAGAGCCTTTGCAGGCGTGTTGTGTTGAGGAAAGCATTGGAAATCGCGAACGGAAATCCATGCTTTATTGGGTTGAAATGATTTGTACTTGCACCATCGGACTAACGCTTTTATTTCCCAACGCAGTATGAGTTAATGATTATTTTCCGTAAATTTCACATATCATCCCGACGTCATCTCGCCGGCCATACCGCTAACAACAACCGAGCAGTTGCACGTCATCGGCTTCGTCAGACAGGCCACCTTAAATTAATATCGATCGATGTATTGAGACCAAAATATGGAAAGTTTTTTTTTGCGCTTAAAGTACTCTAGACGGTCCCATGAACCGCATCTCTACCCTCCTGCCTCTAACTGTAACCGTACTACGGTAGTAGGTACACGTACCGTGGACTTGTCCCTGAAGCTTTGGTACCTCGCCCAGTACTTTGGGAGTTTCGGATCGGCGAGGTCAAGGAGCCAGCCGACATACGAGCGGGCTTTCATATTCTGAACAAGATTTAGCATGAAATGCATTTCACTCTCTCTCTCTCTCTCATATCTCTCTCCCTGTCTCGCTCTCTCTATCTTTAGCGTTCTCTCCCTAGCGCTCTCGCTCTTTTTGTCAATCGGTCGAACAAACTTTCTCTTTGGGCTCTCTCGCTCTCTCTCGCTCTCTTTGTCTGGCTCTCTCTCTCAGTCTCTCTCTCTATTTATCTCTATCTATCTCTGTCACGTTCTCTCTCTCTCTCTCTCTCTCTCTCTCTCTCTTACATTGAACAACTTCTGCAGCATAGCGTTATTGTTCAGGACTCCGGTGATGACCGTACAAATCTGGTTCATAACCTGCGTCACATCGAGCTTGTTGCACCACTTCTTGTAGGCGGGGACGATCTGGATAAAGTTTAGGTATTGATAAGTTCAGGCAAACCACATATTTCAAAGCGCCTACGCACAATCGGAATGAACCGTAAGCTTAGTGTTTACCGACGAGTTATACAGCGGCTCCAGCGTCTCCTTGGCGCCACACGCCAGCGCGGTGCCGATTTTGTCGATGTCGTAGCCTTTGGACTAAAAGGGTTTTTATCCAAGATCTCTCCTTAACTTACCGAACACGTGCCCATCACCGCCGTGGCGTCACCCACAAGCTGCGCGCACAGCGCCGGCTCGTTGGCCATCGCGCACGACATTAGCGTGGGCAGGTTGTCGCTGGTGTAGTTGATGAGCACTAAAAATATCAAGCGCTCAAGGAGTCGTTTTATGACATACGATTCCCAACTTCGCACATTGTCGGAGGGTTGCAGTTCTTGCGGGATTTGATGAAGGCGACGATCGCGGCGGGAGCGCCGGACGCGAACTGGAAGAAAAGCTATCTGTTTTGTTCCCTCATTCCCTCTCTCTCTCTCTCTCTCTCTCTCTCTCCTCGTTCTCCGCTTCCCCCCCTCTCTCTCTCTCCCCTCTCTCTCTTTATCTCTCTCGCTCTTGCTAGGTTGCTAGTTTCGTTTCTCTCTGCGTCGCTCTCACTACTGTAGCTCTCACTCCCTGTATCAGACACGTTCTCTGTCGCACTCTCCCGCTCTCTCCCGCTCTCTCCTGCTCTTTCCTGCTCTCTCTCTCTCTCTCTCTCTCTCCCTTTCCCCCACTCTCTTTGCCTTCACGTTCTCTCGCTCTTTATATCTCGCTCTCTATCTCTCGCTCTCTCGCTCTCTCTCTAGCTCTCCCGCTCTCTACTGCTCTCTCATTCGCTCTCTCCCTCTCACGCTCTCTACCTGATCATTTCGAAAACTCACACCCCACATTGTCTTCTTCGACACAAGTGGCTTTCCCAGGGCCTTCAGAATAGCGTCCATAGCCGCACCGCATTTCGTCGGAGGCGTATCCGATGGACAGTTGGCGGCTTGGCAAAGGGCCAGGAGTCCGTAGGCCAACAAAAGTGTTGTGAGGAGCCTCGCGTGCATACCTTGAATAGTTTAGCATTAAAGCACGGACGAGGTTAAAAGTTGCGTGGTCGGGGATCGAATCCCGTTGTCAAAAACTAATGGAGCCGTAGTGTAGCGTATCAAATAAGCTAAAAAAACTTAGGTCCTGATAACCAGAAAGCATACTGTAGTTTTATAGAGTCCGAACATCGGTGGTCGCGCTGATCATCTGGGCTTTATACACCCGCCCTCTGACCGGATAATCTCTTGGCAGTCCAATTAAAACACGATATTTTGTTTTCCCCAGGCTGATGATCAGACTGCCCCTCGAGTGCATGAGAAAGCAGAACAATTTTTTTGCTCCCAAAAACCAACAAACGATCACGATGTGTTGTGGGAACAGAATACGGACTCGTTGAACTTGTGACAAGGTAAATTACCCTCGTCTTGCAAAAATTGATGAAAAATTATATAGCTGAAAATCCCGAAAGTCATAATACCGACAAGCTTAAAATCGACAAATTGAAAACCGATAAGAAGGTGTTTCAAAGCAGCATCTATTACGCAAAAACCATTTTAAAGTGGTTACTTGGCATGTGTCCGCATCGTCAATTACCGTATTCTAGGCCTACGGATGTCGGCATAGTGTCCGGTTCCTACCTTGGGGTCCGGAGTTTCGCTGTCGGGTGTATGGCTATTGCGATTTTGACAGGAATGGTAGCAGGTCCGTTGCGGTCTTACATTTTCCAAAAAATCACAGGAGAATAGATGGCTTTCCGGAAAAACCAGTCGTTACAAGACACTTAGCAGACCCGTTGCGTGTCGTTGGAGACAACCATCAAATGTTCCAGCATCAAAAAAACGATATACGCAACGCGTGGGAATGCGTCCCCAGGACCTAAAAATCACCTCAATCGAGATACTTGACTAGATAGATAAAAGTTTCGTACCAAAGTTTGTTCAGAACTATTTTTGATGCTCGTTTAGGTGCAAATTGAGTTGCTTATTGCAGATGCCCGTTTGGCCCCGGTTAGGCCTTGAAAGGTAGCGTAAACCCCGGCACCGTACAGTTGCGTACCACGTCCATACGCGCTGCGTAGTCACATTGAAGATTTTCGTGAAGTCGTCTTACGTTTGCCTTATTTGTGCACTTCCCGAAGGAAATGCTTTCCAAAATTTGTTCGAGACACTCGTGGAGGTCTCGGGGCTAATGCTAACCTCAAACTTGGGTAATTAAACCGAAGCTGTCGCTGGCAGGCCGCTCTTACCAACTGCATTGAGTCCAGGTGAGCGACTTTTCCCTTGCGGCCACTTGCTGAAACAGTATGATTTTCCAAGTTTCGAAAAATCGTAGCAACCATACCCACCACACTTGCGTATCGTAGATGCCCGTTTGGCCCCGGTTACGCCTTGAAAGGTAGCGTAAACCCCGGCACCGTACAGTTGAGTACAACGTCCATACGCGCTGCGTAACCACATTCAAGATTTTCGTGATAGTCGTCTTACGTTTGCCTTCTTTGTGCACTTCCCGAAGGAAATGCTTTCCAAAATTTGTTCGAGACACTCGTGGAGGTCTCGGGGTTAATGCTAACCTCAAACTTGGGTAATTAAACCGAAGCTGTCGTTGGCAGGCCGCCCTTACCAACTGCATTGAGTCCAGGTGAGCGACTTTTCCCTTGCGGCCACTTGCTGAAACAGTATGATTTTCCAAGTGTCGAAAAATCGTAGCAGCCATACCCACCACACCAACCACACTTGCGCATCGTAGATGCCCGTTTGGCCCCGGTTAGGCCTTGAAAGGTAGCGTAAACCCCGGCACCGTACAGTTGCGTACCACGTCCATACGCGCTGCGTAACCACATTGAAGATTTTCGTGAAGTCGTCTTACGTTTGCCTTATTTGTGCACTTCCCGAAGGAAATGCCTTCCAAAATTTGTTCGAGACACTCGTGGAGGTCTCGGGGTTAATGCTAACCTCAAACTTGGGTAATTAAACCGAAGCTGTCGTTGGCTGTCCGCTCTTACCAACTGCCTGGACTCCAGGTGAGCGACTTTTCCCTTGCGGCCACTTGCTGAAACAGTATGATTTTCCAAGTTTCGAAAAATCGTAGCAGCCATACCCACCACACCAACCACACTTGCGTATCGTAGATGCCCGTTTGGCCCCGGTTAGGCCTTGAAAGGTAGCGAAAACTCCGGCACCGTACAGTTGCGTACAACATACAGTTACATGGATATACGCGCTGCGTAGCTACATTCAAGATTTTCGTGAAGTCGTCTTACATTTGCATTATTTGTGCACTTCCCGAAGGAACAGAATCTACAGAAAGTTGCTTCGCTTTATAAAAACCTCGTGAATCCAATGAAGTCAAGATCGATAACTAGCTCCCTATGAAGCACTGGCCGACCGCACACCGACTGAACGCGCACTGGCACGTCGCGTATCGCTAAAAAATGGGGTTTGGTATGGAAATGCACAAGACACGCGACGCAGCCGTAGGCTTCAGAAAATCACGTACAACGTATAGCGTCAGGCGTCGCAATGACTAGAAGTTTTCAGCTTTTCCTAGAGCTTGAATTGCTCACCGATGATACCTTACACAGAGTTTCCAGACTTTCGGGTTTTAACAAAATATTGCGTTTTGATTGTGGCTTCAAAAATCTCACAAATCCCGGTATCCAAACAAACATTCTAGTCCCTCGATTCCAACTTCCAACGACTTTGTTTTTGCCTCCCCTCCGGGCTGCCATTATGTGTCCCCGACTCTTCAAAAGCCCTCCGAAAAAAATTTCAAAGCGTCGGGCGGGGGCACAAAGTGAATCCGGCAGATTCCTCAACATGGACTCCCCGGTTGGAAGTAAGCATGAGAGTGGGAGAAAAAGAAGAAAAAAAGGAATGTCGTCTGCCCCGTCATTCATCAGGGCCCCCACGGGACAGCTAGGGGGGGGAGGACTGAATTCTTCTTCTTTTCCTCCCCTTTGAGCTTCTTCCCTTTTTCACTCAACTTCAGAGACTGCCGTCGGCGTCTTCTATGACAACTTCTTGTGCGCGGGACGCCTTCAATGGAATCGAGGCCGTGAAACAACGAGCGGAAAAAGAACGATAACCAACTTGGTCTTGGCGGTTGTCAAACTTTTTGGGAAATGTTGCCCAAATTTTGGAAGTTTGGGAGGTGCGATCTTTAGTTTTGCTTTTACCTGGCAACGGTTTGTTAATAAAATATACATGAATTAAAATAACAACTCATAAACGTCCGCCTATCTTTCTCTCTCTCTCTCTCTCTCTCACTCTCTCACGCTCGTTCTCGTACTCTCTGGCTCTGTCTCTCTTTCTTTATCGCCCTCTCTCGCCTTCTCGCTTTATGTTTCTGTCTTTCTCTCTATCTCTCGCGCTCGCTATCGCTCGCTCCCTCTCTCTCGCTCTCACTCTCTCTCTCTCTCTCTCTCTCGCTTACTGGAGCAATTGTCTGGATATCCGTAGCGATGCAACTTACGTTTTCCATGCGCCAAAAACGTACCCACTCGACCCAACTTACCCGATCCAAGATCACACCTCCAGCCCCCAAGACCCAGATGTTTAGACAAAATTGACGGGTGATCCATCTGTCTGGCCCCTTTAGCGCGTAAGGGACTACTAGACACAACGGGGGGAATCCCGTTAGCCCCCATCGCTCAAACGGTAACACAACATGTGATGGGTGTACCCCATCCATCCCTGGCTATCAACCCCTGAACATGGCGAGTGTGTTATACATTTTTGTGTTCGAGGTTTTTTTCCCGACCAGGCTTGTGAAATCGGAGAGTTTTCGGGAAATGGCGGGGCTCAAAATAGCGGATCTGATCGACAGACGGGATTCGGGTTACTGTGGTTCTCTCTCGAATATCTCTCTCTCACTCTCTTTGTTCTCGCTCTCTCTCTCCCCTCTCTCTCTCTCTCTCTCTCTCTCTCTCTCTCCCTCTCTGTGTCTCTCTCTGTCTCCCTCTCTCTCTCTCTCTCTCTCTCTCTCTCTCTCTCTCTCTCTCTCTCTCTCTCTCTTTTCTCTCTCTCTCTTTCTCTCTCTCACTCTCTCTCTCTCTCTCTCTTTCTCGAAATTCCAATATCTGAAATTTTCTTGATTTGTGGCCAGCGTAATCCTGAGGAAGGTTCAATCCACCTTTAAAAATTTCTCTCCTGAATTTCCAAGCCAGCCTCTTTCCAAGCAGTTGGAGAAGATACCCCGCCGATGCAAAAAAACCATCCGCCAGAATTCATCAGCCCTCATCAGGAGCGATCATGCATGAATTAGCCACGGCCATCCCCAACTTCCCCCCACCCCGATGCCTACATCTTCGGAATTCCGCAAAAAGCTTCCATGCAACTTTGGGGATCCAGTGATTTGAGAAATCCACTGCTTTACCTCGACCGGGAAATCATAGCTTTGCACACTCGTTGCTTCGGAAAGATAGGTTCTATCTTTGTCACTCTTTCCCTTAACCTCCCTCTATTTTACCTCTCTCCCCTCTCCTCCTCCTCTCTCTCTCTCTCCCTCTCCCTCCTCTCTCTCTCTCTCTCTCTCTCTCTCTCTCTCTCTCTCTCTCTCTCTCTCTCTCTCTCTCTCTCTCTTAGTAAAAGTTTACCTTTGATTCATAGAGGATTTTGCGCTCATACGCAAAGTTCCGGAAGAAGAATCTTGCGGGAACTCCAAAGCCCTAAACTTCTCCGGATCCGCTGTGAGATACCGTTATTACCTTGGGGACGCCCGAAAACCTATTAGTAAAAAGCAACCTAGACCCAGACTATTATTATGCTCCATTTTTCTTTTTCCAAATTGATTACCTCGCTTAGTTTTTTCAAAGCCTCCGTATTCATCCTCTGGACACTTCCGGGAGGGCAACGTATCCAGCGGACGGCCATAAATTTCAGTAGATCTACCCCCGAACCCGGTTGGCCACCACCAACCCACCCGAGTTGGGTCGACTGGTCCACCCGGAGAACGGCTCCCCGAGGGGATTTAAAAACGATTTCGATATTTTTCCTTGAGGAGTCGGGTGGGCCATTTC